TTAATAATATTATTATTATTAATATTTCATTTTGGGACTTTCAGGTATGGTAGGGATGTACTCAGTGGGTGAGGTCAAAATACTTCCTACCTAGTTGGATTCTGTATTAGTCATCATTTGCTGCAAAACGAACAATCCCAGAATCTTAAATTAGCATTTCTTTGTCACTTTCAGACATGTGAGTTGGCTGGGACGGCCCTATTTCAGCTGCAGGTCTGGTGTAGGTCTGTAACAGGTTTCTCATTCTGGGGTCCAGGCTAGATGGGTGGGGGTATGCTGTTAGGGAAGATATTGGAAGTCCCTAGAGGAGTAAGAGGAAACACACAATGCCTTTTAATGTCTAGGCTGGCAACTGGCACCTTGTGGCTTCAGCCCACATCCTATTGACAAAGTAAGTGACGTGGACAAGAACATCAATGAGGCCACAAAGTATACTCTGCTGACAGTGGAGAGGGAATAAATATTTACTGAACAATAATCTAATATCCCACAACTTCACTTCTTACTGTCTGCAGTAATTTTTATTGAATTAAAAAATTTTTCTTACAAATTTTGTTTATTGTTGAATTTTGACAATCCAGAAAAGCATAGTCAACCAAATTAAAATTCCTTTTTATGCCACTACCTAGGGATAAACACTGTTAATATTTTGTTGAATATCTATTCATAGCAGAAAATTCTTGTACCTGCAAGACTAACTTTGACCTTGGCACAGACAATACATGATATTCAGGTATTCAGACAATACATAATGGCCATTTGGCATTAGGTTTAGCTTTGGCTTTTGGAAAGTTAAAGAGACAAATGTCTTTTTTATACTTACTTCTTGCATTCTCAAGACTGTGTGTCACAGATGGTTCTGTAATCAGGGAGGTTTCTATCCATCTAATCAATGAAACATACAAGGTATGTTATTCACTTTCTACTTGTAACTTGGAGGTTAAAAAAATCTCTTTATTGCTTTAGATATTGAAATTGTATCGATCAACTTAAAAACAAATATAATGTTTATTATTGCAAGAATAACATGCTACACAGAGAGAGCTTTTGGGATCACACCAGCAACTAAGCTTGTCAAATCAGGAGAGCTGGGCCAGCATCAGATCCCAAATCTGGAAGAATTTAGCAATTTTGTAGTGCCAAATCCAGTGGGAAAAAAAACACACACATGGATTGTGAAAGCTTTTGACTTTATGTGCAATAACAATTTTTAAAGATTCTCAAATATCGTCACAGAAAAGAATTAACATAAATATTAAGAGAGGCTGTATTAAGTAGAGAATTTAGGAAAACCTAAATTTGACTCGACAAATGTTTTAATTCAATTTTAATATAAGGTAGAGCTAAATATATTAGATTATATAAGAATCCCGAAATTTGTGTAATATTTTGGTGTGCTGCCATTCGTCTCATTAAATACAATAATTTTTAATTACTAAATTTGATTTAGTTATTTAATTTCATTTAGAATATGAAGCTTTCAACATTACAACCTACTTGGGAACTTTTCACATCTTGTGAGGATCAATTAAAAGCAGAATGTCAGCTTTTCCACTTCAAAATTTCAGGAGCAGGAAAAACTCCAAAACCACGTATCAAGCCATCCATGAAATTTCTCTTCTGCCCTGGATGGAACCCAGCATGTGGGGGTCTGGAAACACTTTCAGAGCGTGGCTCTGTGACAATTTTGTGCCTCATGTCAAAATTCCATCCTCCCCTTATACCACAGATGAAAAAATATTTACACTGGAAAAAAAACGAACAAATGTGGAAACTGAGTCTAGCCCTGGGTTAGAGCAGGAGCCATGGGCAGCCATGGGGAGGGGGGATCTCTGCTTGCTTCTGGGGGAAGAGTTGTGGAGGATCCTCACTCTCTATGGATGCACTGCCCTTTACAGCTTGGAAAGTGCTTGCCCATGTGGTATCTCAATTGTCCTCAAATCTTTGTGGCGGGGCCTCTGCCACACCCATTTTGCAGATGAGGAAACTGAGGCTCGTAGAAGCAAAATTAGCAAGTAGCTGGGGGCAGAAATCAAACCTGGTGTCGTGCCTGCATGTTGTGCACTTTCTGAGTACCATTCTTGGCCAGGTCCCCTCCTCTCTATGGACCCCATCTGGACCCCCACCTGACCCTCCCGCGGCAACTTTCAGATCATCTTTGTGCCAGAGAAACCCATGATCCTCAAGCAAATCATAACCAAGAGAATAAATAAAACCTAGGGTGAACATCGGGGCAGGGTCAACCCCTGTGATGACCCACCTGTGCAACAGGCCGGAAGGCAAATCACTTTAAAGAAAAGCATTCGGTACGTAGTCTGTGTCATGCAATTTGAAAAAAATAGGGAGGTGCTAAGTGCTGGGTGCACATCTGAAAGGGGTGTGCCTAGACTGGAATCTGGGGAATCTTCCCTGAAGTCATTTTGGGGTATTCTGAGAGGAGAATTTCCCAGCACCTACCCTGCAGGTCAATGAACAGATCATGTCTCTTTTCTGGTTGATGCTAATGACATTTGAGCACCCAGCAGGTACCCCAAGTTTAAAAAATATTTTTGATGTCCTCCCCTTCTGAACTGCCACCTGGTCCTTACCCTCATTACCCTCCTCACTCAGGGCCAGATGCCCCTGGAGGCTGCTGGGACAGTTACTCGATCATTTTGAGCACCTACTATGAGCCCAGCCCTAAAGTAGTGATTGACAGGTGTCATCTCTAAACAGGAAGTAGTATCATCCCCATTATATATAAACGAGCAATTCCCCAAGTCACACACCTAACTGTGCCATGTCTCCTTCCTCCATGTTCAACAACATCCCCTCCCATCTAATCAGTCCAAGCTGCCCAGCTTACTCGGTTTGCTTGGTGCTGATGTCCAAAAGCCACGATCTGTACGGAGATTAAGCTGGGAGCCTCAAAAACCCAGAGGAAAGGGGTGTTTCAGAGGGAAAGGCATGGACTAAAGGTCTTGATTTAGCTGCAAGTGTGTTTTAATGATCTTAAAAAGCCCTTTTTCAATTAGGAATCAATTGCCGTTATTTAAAAATCAGGACAATCTATACCAAAGTCTGAATTTCTGGATTTTCTCCAAAATTCAGATGGTTGGGCCGTACAGGGCTCACATTCTTACGTGGCGGCCGCCGTTAGGAGTTGAGTGTGCGCCTTGCTTTTAGAGAGGGCCTGTGTCCGCCCCTCCACAGACCTCGCTTCTTCCTGCTGTCACACTACAGGCTCGCTCTCTTACATTCCCTGGCCGATCCATGCCTCCGATCAAAAGAGGGGGAAATCCACCTTGAGACCAAACAAGCATTCTCCTGGGCAGACAGGAAAGGAGAATTAAGAGAGGTTTGGGGGTCCCAGCAAAGAGAACCGAATCTGAAGGGGCCGCAGCGCAGATTTTAGCACTGATATGCTGGTGTTAAACAACTGCTCTCCAGGAAAAAAGTGTGTGTGTGTGTGTGTGTGTGTGTGTGTAAATGTTATTGGGATGAAGCATGGTTGTTGCACAAAACTTACCAAGTTATAAATAATAATAAACACTTTATTGAAAATACTCTTTCTTATCAACTCCATATAACCGATTGATTCTCACAGAATGTTTTTTTAATTTTTGGCCAAACTCTTGTATGCAAAACCAACTATTATTGCAATCGAGCCACGACTGGACAAAATTAGACTACGCACCAATGCCGGATGACAATACAACTCAGTAAGAAGTTGCTCAGTATGGTAGTTCCAGCATGGATGCTGGTTGAACACTTATTTCTGTTTATGTTAATGAGTCAGATGAAAGGAAAATAAAGAAGATGCAGGTTGGACCTCCATCAGTGACATGAGCGACATGCTTGCTGAACTGGACAGCAGTGTTCAAATCCTGGAATGATGTGCCGCTCACAATGTATCGGCCATGGGCAGGACAGACATATTTTTAATTTGCATTATTAACATTTTACCCATCACATTCTTAAGACTGAAAAATCAACGAAACAATAAATCGAGCCCTGATTTGTAATGTTCCCCAATCTCTGGGGTGCAAATACACTCCCCATGGCTGCTTTCGAGCGACTAACAGGATGTCATCGAACGTGCCATCAGGAAGAAATGCTCAGCATCTCCCCCATGTCCCTCAAAAGATACAATAGATGTAAAAAAACTCAGGAGCACAGTTAATAGTAAAATGTGGTAAAATAAGAAAGTGATGAGGTTTTGGTATTGGTTACCTTTGTTTTTGACATAATTTGTTTAATTATAAATTCGAGTAATTTAATTTCTTTTAATGGCTGTGTTTAACGGCCAGCTTGCGAAGATCCTGAAAATTGAACAAAATTTTGAGTTTTGATCTTTTCCTGGGCTAATGACATGCAGTATGATAGTCTCGTGATACTGGGCAGCGGCAGCGAGCCACAGCCCCTAGTCAGCCTCGCCATCATGAGGAGAGACAACCAACAGTATACAGTGTATTCATTTTGTTAAATGACTGTGCTCAGTGTAGGCTCATTGGTCTAAGTGTTCTGAATACATCTAAGGTAGGCTAGGCTAAGCTGTGATGTTTGGTAGGTGAGGTGTATTAAATGCATTTTTTACTTTATTATGGGTTTATTAGGATGTAATCCCGTTATAAGCCCAGGAGCACCTGTATCTAGAATAAGAGGAGAGGAGAAGTTGAGGGGCCAGAGTCCCATGGGAGCTACATCAGCACCCAGGTACGACGCAGGCACAGACGACAAAGCCTCGTCTGATGCCGGCACCCCGGATCCACTCTAGCCTTTCATTCTCAGCACCCAGGAACTCCTTCTTGCCAGTCCCTTCCTTTAGCGACCTCTGGCCTGAGCTGCCTGCTCGGTCTCCTTCCGACTCGCCCCTTGGGGGATAACTCTTTACAATGCCCCAAAGGTGGGGGCTTCGGTACTGAGGGTGAACAGAAAATCCCCTCGAAACCCCGATGAGCTGCATGGGACCAGCTGAAGACCATCCTGAAGGGACATGGGGTTAAATACAACCCCGGGGGGCATAATCACCTCTATTCTGCAGATGCGGAAATTGAGGCTTGAGGGGGTTGTTACTTACCCAAGGTCAACGGCTTCCAAGAGGCGAAGACAACGCCAGGTCGGTCAGCCTCCAGACCCAGCTCCTGGAGCTCATTACGGTGCACACAACTCTGGGCTTGTATTCACCTTTCCCCTAATAAAACTTAAATCCCTCTGAGAAAGGACTGACAACTTGAGAGCAGGGCCCTGTGAACATTTGTTGTATTACCAGCATTTAAAATTCCAACTCACTGGCATCAGAAGACATCTTAAGAACAGCCTGGACCAGGTGCCCCACTGTACATATGGGGAAAACTGAGGCCCACGGTCATAGAGCAAAGACAATAGCAGAATCGGGACTAGGCCTTAAGACTCCTGTCAACTAGTCTGAGGTGCTGGCAAATGATAAATATTCTTGGTAAAAGAATTAAATGGGTGAACAAAACTGAGACCCAAGAGCCAAAAATCAGGCTTCCCCTTTGCTGAAAAGTCCCAGCCAGGTGGACAAAAAAAAAGCAGAGAATATTGTATCTTCAGCTAGATTTACAGGTGATACCAGGAGACGTACTGCCAGGATTGGTTCCCCAGAGATTTTTGGAGAAAGCCCAGGGAGCAGTGGAAACTCCATGTGATGTTCTCATGATAAGAACTGCAGAAATGTGCAGCACCAATGGGGAAACTGAGGCAAGAAGGCAGGTCCTCAGGAACCCTCAGAGCCTGACTTTGGGGTTCTCTGACTTTCATCCCAGCACAAAAGGCCTCCTTTGGGGCAGAGGTGAATCTCAAAGGACCACCTACAATCTGTGCTCTGGCCCAGGCAAGCAGGAAGCTGGAGACTGTCAGCTAAAGTCATGGTTCTAGCATCTTCCAGGCAGATGGACCCTTCAGGAGGCTGCCGAGACCTTGATGAGGCTGTACTGGACGCCAGATATGCTCTGCCTGTGGCCAAAGCTCAGCGCAAACCTGTCAAGCAGAGAGTAAGTGGGTCAGAAGGTAGCAGATCCTGGGGTGCTCCCCTGGGGAGAAGGGAGTGGACCATCCCCTGGGACCCCCTTCCCACCCCCAACTCCTACCTGACCCTTCCTGCTTCCTGCCTTCATGTGCATTTCCATCTCTGAATTACCTAACCTCTCATCTTGGACTCCCTGTGTCTGCCCTTGCCCCCATGTGACGCTGGTCCCCAGGTCCAGCCTGACACTCCACTCAGCTGCAACCACAGCCTGTCTTATCGCAAAGCTGGCTTCCACCTGCCTCGCTGCTTACTTTGATCTTTGTCCAGAGGAGGGGTCCAGAATCTTCTCCCAAGGAAGACAGTATGGCAGAGATCCAAGTGGTTCCTAGTATCTGTACCCCCCATGTCTGCTAATAGAACCCTTGATTTTCAGCTGGGCACATGGCTAACCAGATTATAGACCATGTTTCTCAGCATGGAGGTGTAGCCAAGTTCTGACCAAAGGGACGTGGACGAAAGTGACCTGTGTGTCTCTTAAGCTTTGTCCTCCTCTTCCCCTCCCCCTCGCAGAAATGTGGTGGTTCACTGCCATGGCCATGTGGGAAAGATAATATCGAAGAGATGGCACAACAACAAGAGAGACAGAACCTGGGGCCCTGGGTGACCTCTCAGAGCACTGCTGCCGCCCCAGACCTGGACCCCGACATTCAGACTCTTCCAAGCAGCCGAATCTGTCCCCTAATGAATATGGCTGGGTTGCTGAGGGGCCTGCAAAACATGTCACCCAACTAACAGGGACTGTTCGACTGGCAGAGGACACTCTGGGGTGTGGTGGATCAGGTTAGAGGTTTTCGCACTGGACTTGTTCTGCATCCTTTCAGGGGCCAGGTTGGGGTGGGGCCTGGCGGGCAGCTGCAGGGAGGCAATTTCCGATGTGATATTAGAATGGTTTATTTTTTCAATCTTTTAGGGCCTCCCAGGGCATAGAATAGACAGTCGGAAGCTGGTGACTTCTGGTTTATTTTTTCAATCTTTTAGGGCCTCCCAGGGATAGACAGTCGGAAGCTGGTGACTTTCCTTTACTACGAGAGGTAATGACGGGCATTTGCTAAGCATGACCATCATCGTGGTTCACTGCCATGGTCATTCCGATGCCTGCAGCCCTCTCCTCTCTTATTTGAACAGCCCAAAGCTTCCACGGTGCTAAGATTCTGAACTCCTCTCTATGACCTAAAGACTTTACGTGATCTCGCTCCTATCGGCTTGGCTGACCGGATCTTCGAACTCCTACCTCACTCACTCTGTTCCAGCCAAACTGGCTTCCTTATTGTTCTTTGCATGTGCCTGACACACTTCCGACCTCAGGGCTTTTGCACATGCCATTCCCTCTACCTGGAAGGCTCCTCCTTCTCATCGTTATGTGGCTGCCTCCTTCTTACTAACTTAAATTGTACGTTCTCAGAGAGTCCGTCTCCCTCTGATGACCCACCCTAATTTAGCCACAATGCCCTGCCCTTCTGTGCCCCTCACCATCAACCAGGCCCTCTCAACATATTTTGCCCTGTTTCATTTTCTCCCGGCTACATATCACTAACTGAAATGCTCTTGTCGATGCATTTGTCGGCTGGCACATAGTAGGGACTTAAATACCCGCTGGATGAGTAGATTAAGCTCCCGGTTCTGACGTTTTGTTTCTCCAAGCTTCCATGACTGTAAGAGTCTCTGATTTTAGGATTCGACTATTCTAACCGCTCGTGAGTCCATAATTGCATGATTTAAAAATTCCTCTGGGCTGAGCTTAAAGTCAAATAAAACTGCTGTAGGGAGACACAAAAGAACTCAAGAAAAAACAGCTGCCGTGTGAAGACAGGACAAAATACAACTGTCTAGGCAGGAAGAGAGACAGGAAGAGGAGAAGGCAAAGTATGAGGGCTGAGACTCTGCAGCGGAGTGCTCAGGTGCACGGGACTCTTCCCCCAGGCCCACCCTGTCCCCCCGTACCGTCTCCTCTGGAATTGCTGGTCTATCTCTGCCAACGACTGGCCCTTCGTTTCAGGAACAAATAAATAGATGAAACCCAGGCCAAGGACAGCAGTCAGCCCGTAGAGCAGGAAGGTCCAGGACAGGCCGATGGTGCCTGGGAACAGGAGAGCGGGAGTGTGGGCGGGGCGCAGCCAGGTGGCTGGCTTCAGGTGGAGCATCGGAAGTCGGTTCGCCCAGAGCGGAGCCTCCAGATGGTCACCTTGCAGAATGACCAACTGTCAGGTAAGTGTCTTAAAGCAGGAGCAGGACTGGTTATCCCTGAGGCAAGCAAAGAGCCAGGGCTCAGATCCACAAATGCTGACAGGGCCACCTTGTTTTTACAGGCAAGCCCACTTATCCGCATTTAAAACACTAACTGGCGTTGTGTGCTTGGAATCTGAAAACGTGAGCAGAGGGAAAATAACATTCACCTCAGCAGCAAAACAGCTGCAGAACACAGACTTGGCAAAGCCCGGCTCTGAAAAAATACCCCTCAGAAATTCCATGGACCGGTTATTCAGTGAAGTGAGCATTCAGGGAACCGAGTTTCAGTCAATTTGGGCTGCGTCGGACTCGTCTGGGAGAGAGAGGACAGAAACCTCAGCATCCCGGCCCCTCTTCCTGGAGACGCAGGTAGAGGTCAGGGTCTCAAGGCCAATGACCAGGACCCCCGGGATGACCTTGACTCCCTTGAAGTCAGTTGGCCAATGAGAAAGAAAGGAGTCTGTGAAGGAAAGGGCAGCATTGGTCAAATGATGTTTCTGATGCCATTCCCACCTCTAACAGCCTTGGCCTCACCTCCTCCAAGCAGCCTCCCTTGACCAGCCTGACTTCCACTTAATCCTTATACCAGCAGAGAGAGAGCTGGGCTGGGAGTCAGGAGGGCCGTGCTCCAGTCTATTCACTACCTGGCTGGACTCGTAAAGGATGTCTTTCCCCATCTGTAAAAAAAGATGGTAAGGACAGGATACAATTCTAATAAACCCCTCCCACCCTTCCTTCTCCTCTCTCACCCCCTCGATCGTTCCCCATAAAGGGAACGCTTGAAGACTGAGGCAGCAGGGAAAAGCCTGGAGTCCCTAACACTGGGGATGGGAGCCGGGCCCGATGGGCCGGTTCTTCTACCAGTGTTTCCCACGGTCCCCCAGGGGTGGCTGTGTCTCGGAGGAAGAAACACCTGGCTGCAAGACGTGGGAAAAGAACCGAACCCTAAGAACTGTGCCTTGGGGCCCACAATGAAGGAGTCCCGTCCACTGTGACCAAAGTCCCAGATGACCAAAGGCTACCAGTGACCTTGGGCCACGAGCATCTCAGCATCTCAGAGACCCTTCCCCAGTGTTTTGGGCCCATATAATTCCCACCCACTCCACCTCCACTCAGACCGGATTTGAATGCTAGGTAGGAAGAAAAGGTGTCACCCAAACTAGAACTGGGAAAACTTTCCTGCTGGCAGGTGGGTATGAGCCCATTTGAATTGGCTTAGAACAGAAAGAACAGCTTGCAGCTCCTGCACCCACTGGCCTCAGACGAGTTTTCGCCACCTGTTATTGAGCCTGGAGAATTTCAGAGCGCATCTGGGGGTTGTGGGTGTGGTCAGACACTTCCATGGAACTTCTGCACAGGGTTTTATTGCAAGAATAGTTTTGCTGCTACAAATAGAAAAAAAATTTAATCTCTCCTGCTTTACAGTGGGGACTTCGGGGTACAGAGAAGAGATTGGACTTGGGGGTGGGGAGCAGAGCCCCATACTCAGGCTTCCACCTGGAGTTTGTTCCCCTCCACCCACCACACCAATCAGAGATGCTTCCTGGAGGAGGAAAAACGGATGCTTCAGCTCTTCTCCTTCTGCCTGCACCCCAAGTCGTCAATCAAGCCAGCCCACTCGCTCATGGGGTGTGAAATGAGAAGCCTCACAGACCCTATCTTCTGTTCTTGTCTTCTTCCTTTTCTGATACCAGCACCCAATTTTCCTTTGGGGAACAACTCCTCCCCAACTTCTGGTTCATGCAGTTGGGTGAGGCTGTCCCTCACCCCTGGCTCCAGGGTAGGTATCTGCTCTACTTCCGGAGCCTGGGCGTGGAGACCGCCTTCCAGCCACAGTGATTGATTCAGGGATGGGCAGGTGACCTTTCTGAGCCAATAAGAAGCAGTTCCCAGGGGGACTTGGGCGAGACCCCCTGGGAAAAAAATGCTCTCTTTCTACAGATCTGCTTGCTAGTGGCTCTCTTTGCCACCCTGAGGTGTTTGCCTGAGAACGAAGCCCACAGCATGGGAGGTAGGGCAGAGAGAGGTGAAAGATGGCTGACGATTTTGTTAAAGCCTCTGAATCAGCCGTGTGTGAAACCAACTGCTCTCCTCTTTTCAGTGATTTAAGACAAAAATACTCTCTTATGTTCGTAAACTGGTTTGCACTGGATTTTCTGTCACTTGCACCTCGACCGGTAAGGAAGGCCTGGCCCCGTCGGGAGGAAATTCCCAGATCTAGAAGGAGCTGGACCAGGATATCGGGCCCGAGAACTCACCGATGAGGTCGAGGAAGGAGAGGCTGATGAAGAGGTTGGCGGCCCAGTTGAAGCTATTGCAGAAGGCGAAGGCCCTCCCTCGGATCTCCACTGGGTAGATCTCACTGAGGACAAGCCAGGTCACTAGGACAGGAGAGCAGAGAGGCTTCCAAAGCTGTAGCCAGGACCTGGGGCCTGGCACCCACGGTCTAGCTAGCAGGCAATCTCCCAGCGGTGTGATTCAAACAATGCCAGGCTCCTGACACCAAATGTCCCCAGCTACTTCCCCGACATGGCTGTAAGAACCCCTTCAGGGTGACCAGTAGTTTCGGTTTGCTCCGGGTGGGAGTATTTCCTGGGACATGAGACTTTATCAGTGTCTGGCCAAACCAGGATGGTTGGTCACCTGATTCCTTAAGTTCCTTTCAAGTAAAGCCTTTCGAATGAGCTATCCAGGAGCAAATTCAGGTTTCAATGAGGCCTGAAGTTTAAACAATTTGGGAGCCTTTTTAAGAAAAAAAAAATGACAACCATGAAATTAGTGCCCCCCCTCCCCGTCCCGCCCACCCCCACTTCTGCCCTGGGAAGGAGTGCCTGCAAGCAAGGGAGGAGCCCCGAAGCTTAAGCTTCACTGGCTTCACCGTCAAGCCACCTCTAGTGTCCCTCTGAGACCCTGACTGATACCATCCCCAAGCTCCCCGCTAGGAAGGGTGGAAGGCTCAGTGTTACCCACAAGAAACTCCCACCTACCTGGTCCGAAGCCGAAGGAGAAGGCGCTCATGAAGACCATCATGCAGACCAGCGCCGTCCAGTGCAGCAGGGGGCGCTCTGGGGCAGGAGCAGCGCTTGCAGAGGAGGCGGTGCTTAGGGCTGGCAGGAGAGGGGTCGTGGGGTCTCCGGCTCTGGGATTAGGCTCGTTTTCCTCAGAAGTTGACAAGACTGACTCCCCTTGGTTCGTGCTGGTCGTTGGCAGTGGAGGTGGAGATATGTCCATTGGCAATCCAGAGTCTCCAGGGAGGCCTGACAGCTTGGTGGCGTTGGGTAGGGCCAGGCAACTTGGGCTTGAGGCCATGGGCACGGCAAAGCTGACGAGGCCTATGCCGCTCACCGACAGGGCCATGAGGGCACAGCCAGCTAGTAACAGGGCTCTGCGGCCGGCTCGGTCCACCAGCCCCATGGCAGCCAATGTAGCCGCCACCTTCACTGCGCCAAGCCCCACGGAGGCCAGCACAGCGGAGGATCCCTCACGGAAGCCGACAGAGTGGAAGATGGTGGAGGCATAGCACAGTACATTGGGCTGCCCTGTGAGCTGCTGGAAAAGCACCAGCCCCAGCCCCACTGTGGTCCGGCCTCGCATGTTATCCCGTGCCCTGAAGAGGTCCAGAAAGGAGTATCTTGGCCTCCCCAGGCCAAGCTTGGTGGCCTCACCTCCCTGGAGGGGGATGAGGTCCTTGTGGGCTGCTGGCTCATCTGTAGCAGCAGGGAGAAAGAGGAGGCCAACGGACTGCAAGAGAGCAGGTGCAGCGGCCCAGCCAAACATATGTCGCCATCCCTGGGGGGCGCTGGCCAGTGCATAGTTGAGTGCATAGGAGAGCAGGATGCCCACGGTGACGCCTGCTTCGTAGAGGGACACCAGCACTCCCCGGTGCCGTGGCCCCACCAGCTCTGACACGTAGATACAGCAGGCCATGGAGGAGAGGGAAATGGCGAAGCCAGCTGCTGAGCGGCCCAGGACCAGCCAGGTCAGGGAGCCAGCCAGGCCCAGGATCAGGCTGCCTGCCAAAAGCACCAAGTTGCTCCCGAAGATGGCTTGTTTCCTGCCATAGTGGTCAATGAGGAAGCCCCCTACCAGGGAGGCGAGGAGAGCCCCCAGGAGCAAGCTGCCCACCAGGAACTCCTGCTCCAAGCAGCTCAGCCCAAAGTCAAGCTGCAGTGGCAGCAGGGCACCCGATATGACTGCCAGCTCATAACCAAAGGTCAGGCCACCCAGCAAAGACACAGAGGCACACAGGGGCAGGAGGGGTGGGGGGTGGCCTGGAAAACAAAAGTGACAGTGGCCGAGTTCAGACGGTTTCTTGCCAGAATGTCCATTCATCCAACCTTCCCTCCATCTGTCAAGACCTCCATGTATACATTCAGCTACTCCATCCATCCACCTATTCATTTGCTCATCCATCCATCCATCCATCCATCCATCCATCCATCCATCCATCTATCTAACCCTCCATCCATCCACTTCATCCATTCACCCAGCCATCCACCTACCCATGCATCCATCCACTCCTTCCTTCATCCACTCACCCCTTCATCAATCTACTCTAGCCATTCACCTATCTATCCATTTATTGATCTATCTATCCATCCATTCAGCCTTTATCCGTCCACTCCTGCCTTCATCTATCCACTCCATCTATTCACCCATCTATTTATTGAACAATATATCCATCTCTTCTCCATCCACTTCTCCATCCATCCATTCCATCCACACATATTCATCCACTCATTTGTCAATTCATCTACCCCTTAATTCATCCAAACATCTGTTTGTTGATCCATCCTCAAATACGTCCGATCATCTACACATCTTTGTTTTCCATCCTTTATATATCCACATATACACTCCTGCATCCGGTCATGCAAAATCTTATTTATCTGACATCTACAGCACAGCAGGCAGTATTCTTGGGGCTGGCAACATACTGGTATTGTCAAGGACCTGACATTCCAGTAGAAAAAGGCAGATGATAAACATATAACTTCAAATGGTGATGATAGGTATCATTAAAAAGCAGGGAAAGGTGATTGAGAGTGATGGAGTTCTATTTAAATAAGGTAGCTAAGCCCTCTCTGAAGAAAGAAAATTTGAGCAGAAATCTGAAGGAAGGGAGGGTAAAAGCCATGTAAAATCTGAGAGAAGAACATTCTAGACAGAAGGAACAGCAAGAACAAAGGCCCTAAAGTAGGTATGTTTGAACAATAAGTATTAATATTAATAGCTAGTGCTTATATGGTACTAAGTGCCAGGCCTGTTTTAAGAGCTTTATGTATATTTACTCATTTAGTTCTTACAAAGACCCTATAACATATGATTTTTAACATCATCCTCCAAGGTGCAGACAAGAAACTTTCTTGTGGTCACACATCAAGTAAGTGGCAGAGCTGGTGTAGCTGGAGAGAGTAAGTTTTTAATCACTATGCGATTCAGCAAGGGGACCAGAGTGGCTGGAGCCCAGTGAGCGAGAATAAGAGGAGACGAGGTAGTAGGCAGGGGCCAGAGCATGTGGAGCTTTGTAGGTCATGAGGATAATGATGAATTTCACTGTCAGTGGTCAATGGGTAGAAGGAAGCCTTTGAAGCCTTGAGCTGGGGAGAGAGGTGATCTATGGTAGTCACCAGTATATGTGGATATTGAGCACTTCAAATGTGGCTAATGTGATCGAGGAGTTGAATTTTAAATTTTATTTAATTTTAATGAATTTAAGTGTAAAACTAGTTACATGTGGTTAGCAGCTACCATATCGGCAGTTGAGTTACACGGGTTACTCTTAATTTTTAACTCATAAACTTAAATATTTCTGGAAGCATCTAGAGTGATCCAGAAGTATCTGTGTCACACCACGCTAAGTCATAACTTTTTAGCATGGCATTGACGTCCCAGGCCCTTCATGAACTTGCCCCAGACAAACCACCAGAACCTGACAACATTTATAATACTTTAACCAGTGTTTTCTCTGGACCAGGCACTGCTTTCAGCGCTGTAAGTGCAATAACTCGTTTAATTCTCACCACAATTGTATAAGGTAGGCTTTTGTATTATTTATGAACAAATACGCTGAGAAATGAAGTGACTTGTCCAAGGTCAAAAGTAGTAAGTAGCTGTGCCTAGGCTCAGAGCCAAGCAATTTGACTCCGCAGTCCATACTCTTGACCACTCCATTAGAAAACTTTGGCATAATATGATCCTTCTCTGTTCTCTCTTATTTCTGACTTTCTCCATCCGTTAGGCAATTTTTGTGCAATCTCCCTCTTTCTGCTCACCCATCATCCCTGCCCCCCAAGGAAATAACCGTTTTCTGGCTGGCCTTGTTCTACTTGTTCATGACCATCAACAAACACCCTGGGGAACTTATGCTATCCGTGTCCTGCCCCATCCTCATCCCCCCTTGTCCCACCTCCTTGGTTCTTGTACTTTACTGCCAAAAAGGAAGCTTCTTCCAGGCCATGGTAGGCAATCAAGTGAAAACACAGAATTTGTTTGTCATTTCCTAGGTTCCTCTCAAGGTGAAAGAGAATCCAGCCAAAGGTCTAGAGGCAAAGTTGACTGTCTACAGTTTACTGGAAAATGCATCCATCAGAACAGATTCCAGTCACGGTGGTATGAGGAAAACAGCAAAAACAAACATGAAAAGAAAGAGTCATAATAACAGGTGTCACTTATTGAGCATCTCCTCTACTCAATGGCCTTAGGTGCCTTGTCTCAATTCATCTTCATAGCGACGATAGGTGGTATTGCTATAGTTATCCTCATTGTACAGATGAGGAAACTGAGGCCCAGAGTGTTCTCGCAGCTGAGAAGCAACAGGATTAGGACTCAAATGCTGACCCATCTGACTTCCAAACCCAAATACTTAAGAGTTTTGCTGAACTGACTTCAAGCAAGAAGGGCTTGGTTAAAGAGATAGGTGGGGTGTGAGAGAGAGGCGGGGCGCAGGGAGCAGAAGTGGAGGGGAAATAAAGCTTCTGAATCCAGAAAAAAAGTAAAAACTTTGGTCCCCCTCAGCAACAAAGAGATTCCCTACTCCCCCCACAACTCTGCGTTCTAATCTCCTCTGTGGTCCATCTATGGAATCGTCTCCAGAGTATTGGTTTTGTCTGTTTTGTTCAGGACAGCATCCTCAGGCCTGGCGAGCAGGGGTTGTCCAGTGAATTGATTAATGAATCTGCTCCTTGCGGAGCCTCTATTTCTTCATCTACTGAGTAGGAACCATTTCTTGCCCGGGGCTTCTTGTAAGGCTTAAAGTGGTCAAGGAGTAAGCGCTCAATGTCAAGTAAGGAGTCCTTTCGGGTCACTTCTTTTCTGGGCAGAAGGGAACATGGAAGGAAGTGGGCCCAAGTCCCTTCCCAGCCCCCAGCCAAGGCCTGGTTCCCGGGCTCGCCACCCGAGTGGGCGGTGTCTGGCCCCTCTGCGCCGCCGGGGGCGGAGGGCGTGCGCATTGATGGGATAGCGGGGACTACCCCGCGGGCAGCGTCGGATCGCGACTTACCCATGGCGAGCAGGACACCGAGGCGTGCTACGGGCGCTGCGCGGGCTGGCGCGCATCCCGGGGCTGGAGTCCCCGCCTCGGCCGCGGGACAAACTTTCCGGCCCGCCTCTCGCCTCAGTCCCTCCCTCCCAGCCTGACCGCCCTGCAGCGCCGCAGCCGCCACGTCGGCCAGCCCTGGCCCCCTGTGCCTGGAGGCGGGACAGAGGGGCACCCAGACCGCCCCAGCCTGCCCCCGCCTCCGTCCTCTTCGTCCTCCCCAGGTCCTGTACAGAGACATCCCGGTAAAGAGAGGGAGTGGGAGTGGGGTGGGAGGCACATGCCGTGTACTCCACCAGAAGGAGACTCCCCAGTCACTGCAGTCCACATTAGTCTGGCCTCTCCAGCGTGTGTACACACACACAGACGCACGCACACACACACACACACACACACACACACACACACACACACACACACACACGCACTCATGCCTACACTGATGGGGCACTAACGCACACCCACTCCAGCTGCTCAGACACTCCCATGGACCCATCCTCCATTCATTGAACTCTTAGGTTTGGACACCTCTCAAATGACCACAGGCTCTGTGCTAGGCCTTGGGGATGGGCTGCGAGAAAGAGACAGATTTGTTTGTTCTTGTGCAATTTGCTTTCTAGTGGGGGAAGAAGAAAGTTAAATAAGCCAGAGAAATACCAGCTAGTGATAAAGGCCAGGAAGAGAGCTAAACTAGGGTGGTGGGGTAGGCAGGCACAGGTGGCTGCTTTAGCTCTGCAGTCTGGGAAGGCTGCTCTGAGGAGGGGACAGTTGAGACCTCAGGTTCCAGCCAGAAGGAAGAGCAAAGGCAACAGCTCATGGTGGAAGGAGCTTGTGGAGTATAAAGAACCACAGAAATGAAACCAATGGCTGGAGCACAGGGGGTAACAGTGAGGGTGGAGGGAAATGGGGCCCGAGGGAGGGGTTGGCAAGGGCCAGGTTATTTTAAGGCCTTGGGAGGCCAGCATTAGGAGTGCAGATTTTATTCCAACTGACATAGGAAATAATTGGGGGATTCTAGTAGGTTAATTGGGCACGAGGGTGGAAATGGGAGACCTCTTGCAGGTGAGAGCTGGAGTTGATTTAAACTAAGGTGAAAGTGGGGACGGAGGAAAGTAGGCAGACTGGAAATACACTGCACAAGGATTAACAGATTGGAAGAGAAGCGGCTTGGGGCGAGGAAAGGAGATCTAGAGTTCTGTTTTGGTTGCATAACATTTAAGGTGCTCATTGGGCACCCATGTGGCTAATAGGTGGGCTGTTTGATATAAGGGTTTGGAGTTCTGGAAAGGAGACAGGCTGGGAACACCCTCACTAATTCTCACTCTCGGGGCTCAGAATGCATGTGGCCACAGGCTTATCTCCTTACATGGCCATACACAGACACATTAGTTCACATGTGTCATATACCCTCACCCAGTAGGAATTGTGTGCCACAGACACAATCAGGGTTATCAGCAAAGAAGACAGCATTGACAAGACTGTCTGAGCGAGGGGACTCTTCCACGGTTCTGAAAATAATAATAGCTAGGGCAGTTTGAAAACATGGATCTAAAATTCTTTGTCCCCTTCCCTGAAATCTAAGTGGGCTTGTGACTGCTTCAACCAGTAGGTCGTACAGAGTGGTATTGTATAACTTCTGAGGCTGGGTACTGGGACACTGGAGCCCTAAGCCACTAGGAAATCTGACTCCCTTGGGGCCACCATGCTCTGAGAAAGCCCAAGGTGCAGAGATGGGCCGCTTGTGGATGCCCCAGTGGTGTTCCTAGCCTTTGAGTCATTCCAGCCCTGGCTCTAGAATAAGCCTTCAGCTAATTCCAGTTTCTAGTGTCAAATCTTTCTACTGGAGGCCCCGAACCTTGTGGAGCAGAGACAAGCCATCCCTATGGGTTCCAGTCTGGATTCCTGACCCACACAGTTCATGAATATAATTAAATGATTGTTTTAAGGTGCAAAGTTTTGGAGTGGATTGTCATGCAGCAACAATAACTGGAAAAATAGCTTAAACTATTGAACAATAATTATATACTTGGATTTAAGCACTTTATATTAGGTAGTTGTTAACCCTCACAACTATCTAATGAGATAGAGACTATTACAACTTACTCCCAGTTTTATGAATGAGAAAACTGAGGCAAAGGAAGGTGAAGTAACTTGCTTGCATAATAAACAAATGAATAAGATAAATAGAGCTCAAGGACACATTTTAGTACATAGCTGAGCCAGAAGCCGAGCCCAGTTATGGGGAAATTGGGCACTTATCCATTACACTCTGCTGCCTTTCTGGCATGGAGAGAAGCCCAAGGCAGCCTCTTGGCCATTGCCAGGTGACAATTCCTCCTTCATCTAAGAGTGTCTGGAATTGTCACCGGGAGACCTGGTACAGCAAGGCCTGGGCTGTCCCATTCCTGTGAGAGAACCAAATAGAAGTTATATGATGGAAAGGAGCGTGAAGCCCCTAGATATTCTTTGACCTCTGTAGTTTGCATTGTCATGAGGATTTTTGTATGCTTGCTGGCCTAGAGAATAGAGAATCCCTCTTCATTTGTTGCCCCAAATAAGAAAGAAAAGATTCTAATGGTGCATTTTGGCAGCATCTTCAAAAATGGATTTCTTTGAGTGCAGGTGGGACCTAGTGACTCATTTAGAACAAATAGAATACAGCAAAAACGTGATGATGTCATTTTAGAGATTAGGTTACGGAAGGTGGTGCTTGCTATCTTGCTCACCCCTTCTTGATTTGACTCATTCACTCCAATGAATCCACCTACCATGTTATGAGCTGCCCAATGGAGAGGCAAGAAGTGAGAGGGGCCTCCACACAACAACCAACAAGGAACTAAGGCCCTCAGATCCACAGCCCATGAGGAGCTAGATCCTACCGTTGATCAACTAGTCATACGTACAAACGAAAAAGACAATCTGTCACAATGCACAAGAGGAGAGGTTTATAGGGGAGAGCTTATAAAAGAGAAGAGCTTATAAAAGTTGGATTTTCCCTCTTCTGAGAAGTCAGGAAGGGCTTCCCTGAGGAAGTGACATTTGAGCTGAGAATAGAAGGATGTCTAGATGGGGTAGGCAACAAAGAGAGGGAAGAGCACTTGGCAAACAGCAGGCGTAAAGGCCCTCTGACAAGAGGGAGCCTGGCAAGAATGAGACACTGAGAGAAGGCAACTGTGTTTGAAGATTCAAGGTCAAAAGAGAGTTTGGTGAGAGATGAATCTGGAGAACAGACATGCAGGACCTCTTGGGTCCCATGCAGGACCTTTTGGGTCTTTATCCTAAGGACAATGGGGCACCACTGAAAGGTTTTAAACTAGTTTCCTACCATAGAAGCCAGAAACAATATGATCATAGCAAGCCCCAACTTGTAAATGTTTGTACAGTGCATTTTCCAAAGGCGGGGTTCAGAGAGATTTGGTAACCACAGAGATAGAAAGCTACATGGACACTAACAAGTATGATAACGAAGCCACACACTTGGGAAACTGGGTGTTATCTTTGAATTGGTTCTGGGTGGGCTTTGAGGAGCCTGGGATGATGAAAGGTGCCGGAAGCCACATTATGCCAACAGAAGGGGTCTGATGTTTGAAAAGGTGACCTGCCCCCCGTGTGAATAAAACCGAGGAGCTGAGAGTTGGCTGGCCTTTCTTCAATATTTCAAATAGGGTTCCAACGATAGGAGCAGGAAAGCGAACATATAAGAGTGCATTCTACCCATCTGGCACTCTCACGAGCAACATCTTACTTAATTTTAATAAGCAATTGCCAAAGTAAAATTACTTTCTTTCTGAGGAGGATAAATCTGAAACTCAGAGAAATGATGTTCTTGGCCGCATCACAATGTGACAGGTACTTGCTTCCGGAAAAAGGTGTTTTTCCGCGAGAGGCGCCGCAGTTTTCCGGAAAGAGCCGAAGAACTGGAAGGCGGGGCCACAAGAGCCTTTCCGAGGAGCTTCGGAAAGAGCCGAAACATTGGTAGGCGGAATTACTTCCACGGGCGGAAGTGTCGGCGTCCGATTGGCCGAAGAGGACCGAGGATTTCCGGAACTAGCCGAAGCATCTCCGACAGCTTCCGGAGAAAGCCGAGGGGGCCGAACGGCGGCGCTGAGGCGCAGTCATGGCGACGGCTGGACCTGTGGGAGCTGAGTCGAGCGAGGAGCCGGCGCCGGAGGACGAGGCGCTGGCCGCTGCTCGGGAGCGGAGCAGCCGCTTCTTGAGCGGCCTGGAGCTGATGAAGCAGGGCGCTGAGGCGCGCATTTTCCGCGGCCGCTTCCAGGGCCGCGCGGCCTTGGTGAAATACCGCTTCCCCAAGGGCTACCGGCACCCGGCTCTGGAGGCGCGGCTCGGCCGGCGGCGGACGGTGCAGGAGGCCAGGGCGCTGCTCCGCTGCCGCCGCGCAGGTGAGAGGCCGTCGGGCTCGGGAGCGTGGCGGCGCGGGGAGCGAGGCTCCGGGCCCGGGCATCGCGGGTCAGGGACTCCCTTGCGCCCCGTGCCTTCTGCGTGGCCTTAGGTGTTTAAGAAGCGTCTTCCTTTCACACCTCTTCTTCCTCATTTATTCTTAAGGAGCCGCTTGGCCGTGCAGCGACGAGCATGTGTCCTGGAGCCGTTGCGCCTGGGTCGGTTCCCGGCTGTGCCCCTGTTGTTCAATGTTGAGAACGTTATTTCGTCGCCTCGAGTCTCGGTTTCCCCATTTGTACCGTCTCAAGTCTTCATTACTTTTGAGAAGCAGATATAATTCCAAGCATTTCCCCGGCACCACTGTAGCCTTACAACACGTTCGTTATTTAACCTCTCAGCCCGTTTCCTCACCTGTAAAGGGAAGTCATAGTTAGTCGCAGTATTTATCTCATAGGGATCTTGTGACCATTAGATGAGGTATGTATGCCACATATTACATTTGAATGTATGGCTGACACCGTAGCGCTTACTAAAGTTAGATTTCATTAAATCGCTTATTTAGTTTTTTCATTAAAACACCATTGTGCACCACCACCGTAAACCTGTTGATAAGAAACTGAGGCTCAGAGAGAAGTAACTTGCCCAAGGTTACACAGTTAGTGACCCAGACAGGCTCTCAGCTCACATCCTTCTAAGAAAAACTGGCTTTTCACTTTTACACTTTCTATCTTTCTTTTTTTCCATTGGACATTGTCACGTGCTGGGAGATATACAGGAAATTTAGTGAACAAGCAGACCTATTTCTGCCCTTGCTTGGTTTAATGAAGTTATTTGTGTGTTCATATTTTATTTTTTCACCCTATCTAGGATATGTTTCATTAATCAGGGATCGTGGCTGCCTTGTTTCCTGCCGTATCCCCGCTGATATGTTCCCAGTATCTAGAAAAGTGTCCTGAGCATGATTGACATTTAATAAGATTCATGAAATCCTTGGAAGTATTCTCATGTTATAGAAGCAGAAATGGAAGCATAGAGAAGTTAATGTGACTTTAAGGTTATACAACTGTTAAAACGCAGTGTAAATGACTCAGGAAGCTTTGCTAAAATTAAAAATGACAGTTTTATTCAAGAGTCTTAGAATTTTCAAGTCGAAAATGCTACCAGGTAAAACCCAGAGTGTTCCGAAGAAAAGAGAAAAGTTGAGAGTTCTTCTGGTAAAAAGTTCGTTTTTGAGAAGAATCAATTCTGCATTCTTGGATCATGGATGTCAGGCTGTCTAAATACATAAACATTTTTTCCTAAGTTCTTCAGTGTTATACATAGTGTGTGTATATATATGTATAACCATCAATGCACAATTGAAAAGTTCAAAAGTTTAACTAAGATCTTCATGCTTCAGTCTATTTGGCCTGAACCAGTTTTTTCATCTTGACTCTGCAGACTTCATTTTAAGTCAGCTTAGCTATACTGACTTCATCTTGTTTTCTTCACTCATTCCTCACAACTAGTAAGGAGGAGAGCTGAGTTTTGAACTTGTCCTTTTTTGACTGTAAAGATGAATCTCTAAGCCAACATGCTGCTTGGCCTGTTTGTGTCCTTGTCAGGTATAAACTGCTCTATGTAGAATATGCTTACCCTTCTCGCTCTTTGTTTTTTTTGGGGGGGGGTGGGGGGAATAAGTATGACAAATGAAGTCCAATTATAAAGGGTGGAAAATATAAAGGAGGAAGCTTTGGCACTACTAAACTTAGCTGTTTAAGGCACAGCCATGCCGAGCATGAATAGGGGAAACTTCCAGATGAGTTAAGTCATACCATTCTGCAGCATTCCTAAATCTTTTTCCTGAAATAAGCAGATACATACTCTAAAACTCTGGATCAATTTTTTAAAATTAAGCTTACCATTAAAGAAGAAATCTAATCCAATAACCGCTTATGTCTTAATTGCAGGGATATCTGCCCCAGTTGTCTTTTTTGTGGACTACGCTTCCAACTGCTTATACATGGAAGAAATTGAAGGCTCAGTGAGTGTTCGAGATTATATTCAATCCACTATGGAAAATGAAAATACTCCCCAAAGTCTCTTTGGCTTAGCCCAGACAATTGGGCAGGTTTTGGCTCAAATGCATGACAAAGACCTCATTCATGGCGATCTCACCACCTCCAACATGCTCCTGAAGCCCCCCCTGGAACAGATGAACATTGTGCTCATAGACTTCGGGCTGAGTTTCATTTCAGCACTTCCGGAAGATAAGGGAGTTGACCTCTACGTGCTAGAGAAAGCCTTCCTCAGTACCCACCCCAACACCGAGAGCGTGTTTGAAGCCTTTCTGAAGAGCTACTCCATCTCCTCCAAAAATGCCAAGCCAGTGCTCAAAAAACTAGATGAAGTGCGCCTGAGGGGCAGGAAGAGGTCTATGGTTGGATAGAAGAGGGTGTGACATCCCCAGACAGTTCAGCTTCACTTCAAGGTAAATTTGAAGGAACGCTACGAGTATGAGACCTAAATAAAAGTGTTGACATAGTTTTAAGTCCTGTCTGTGATCATGTTTGTTTAGTGTCATTATCATCTGCAGTTAACTTCTCAAGAGCTTACTGTGTTCATGAGACGGGCCTTAGGCAGAATCGAGTATTTATAAAATAAATCTAGGGTAGGCTTATTCCTCAGGTACATTACATGGCATTATAAAACATTGACCCACATAATAGAACATTGTTCTCTTCAATCCTGGCAAGACAAGGACAGTCTCAGTTGGTGACAATATGTTTTTACCAGCCCTCTATATTCCAGTGTTGTTTTCTATTGTGTTTATGACAAACTCCTTTCAAAACCAGTATAAGTGGGGTACAACTAGCATCTTAAAAATGAAGTAGAATCAGACTAGAACATATCAGTGCATTCAAATGTATATGCAGACAAGGGTGTGTACTAGATTTTGATGTAAAATATATTTCGTTTTGAGGGTCACGGTAAATGCCGAACTCCAATTTCTCTTTTTTAAAAAGCAGGCTCATAGCTTACCTGGCTCCAAAGTCCATATTCTTTCTACTGATCTTTTAAGAAAGGATATGCTAGATATGATATGTCTTTATATTACTATAACATGTATTGGCATTACATTACATGACATTATTTTCAAAGATCTTTAAGAGCCACAAGAGCTGGTAGTATTTTTTCAGTGAGTATTCTCAACATGACAGGGGTCATTTCCCAGTTTCCTCATATGCGCTATAAGGCCAATTAAAGCTAATATCTACCTCTGGGGAGAATGATTGATTGACCGAAGTATGCAGGTGTTAAGCCAACAAGTACTAGCACTTGCTATGTGCCAGGCACCAGAGATACAGAGAGAGCACGAAGGCTACCCTTACTCTCCTGGAAAGCATAGACTAAGTTCCTGAGACAGCAGACAGTGATGCATACTGGAAAGGGTGCTGCGCTCCTGAGCTACCTCGAGGGGAGGTGGAGGGAGGAGCGGTCAGGGAAAGCCTCTGAGGAAGTGACATGAGAACGAAGATGTAGAGGAGAACTAAGGGACAGGCGAGTGTGTTGCAGGCCGAAGGACCATCATGTACAAAGTTGGCGAAGGTGGAACAGCCTTGAGGGAAAGCAAGGTCTGTGGCTGGTTTGCAGCTCTCCAGGAGGAGGAACAGGAAATGCTATCAGAGAGGTGCGGAAGGGCCTTGTAACAAGGTTGGGTTTTATTCTTAGTGGGTCTCAGGAGTTTAAGCAGAGACATCTAATTTGTGTTTTGAAAGGATTATATTTGTAGAAAAATGACCGAAGGGGCTGAGCGGAAGCAAGAAACCATGAGAAGGCTACACAGTGCTGGGGCCAGTGATGATGGCAGCCTAGGGTGGAGGTGCTGGCGAGTGTGCTGTGAACCACTTGGCACCCGCTGGCGCGGCGAGATGATGGTCAGCGGCCGTGGGTGGTGGGGGTAGCAGGAGCAGTAGGGAAGCGAAAATGACCTTCTTTGCAGGCATTGATGGGGAGAGGGGTACTGTAGACTGGAATCTCTTCATAAATGTTCCCAGGAGTATTGTCCATCTGCTTACTCAGCCTGTGGCCTGTGTTGGAAATAAAGGATTAACAAGAATTCCTCAGTGAGCAGTGGCTTCTTTCCCTGGTTCAGTGTCTCACAAAGGGCTAAGGCACCCTCTGCAGTTCCACATCCCTCGAAGTCCACGTGGGACAGCCGGTGCTTTGTAGTGATGAGCCGATAGCACTACAGCTCTGTGTGAACTCCCACTTGAAAAGGTTACAGGCCCATGTTTCCCGGAATGTTTAAAAGAGCCTTGTGGCCAGTCCATGGACCACAGAATGGACGGTCTTACCCAAGCCTGGCGTCGCGAATGCCCCGTCCAGGCATGTTCTTGTTAAAGGAGATGAGCTAAGCATACTCACGCCGTGTGCTGACTGAGGGGGCTTGGGAACATTACTGAGGCATGTGGCGTCTAATCTAACTGAGAAAGTAAACCCAAATCCTGATCCTGGTTCCAATAAAATTTTATTTACGTAAATAGGCAGTCGGCTTGTGGGCCATAGTTTGCTAATTTGATTTTTTTAAATGTTATATTAAAACATTTGTTTTGATTTCTGAGTTTTTAGGTGACCCCTTAAATCTGTGCCCTAGTGAGAGCCTCGCTTTCCTGGTCTTAGTCCTAACCTGCTGTCGCTGACTGCTAGAACCCATGTTCTAACAAGGGTCTGCCCCAACCCTCTTTTCGGGAACTGGGAAACTCCTCCTGGGTTCTGAATTCAGGGCACTGCACCTCCAAATCACCGAATTCCCCTTTCCCGAGTCCAGAGAAGCAACTCTCTTTGGCCACCAGAGGTCGCAAGTTACTGTCATTTTCCACAAGAGAAAAGCTTCCCTCCCCTTCCAATTCCTCCTCCACTTTGTTCTCCTCTGTCTCTTCCATTCCTCCTCGCTTTTTCTTATCTCCCTTTGCCTCTCTCTCCTTTCCAACTCCTTCCCTCTCTCCTTACCTTGAACTTGTTCATTTATTCACTCAACACCTTAGCTGAGCATGCATCTGGAGTGAACACCATGCTGATCAGGATGTAGTGAGACAGGGATGTCTAGTTCTGTCCTGTCCTAACATTGTCATCCATTCTCTCACTTCATCACTCATTCATTCACTGGGTATTTATTGAACACGTTGGCTGTGTTTGGCTCTGTGCTGGACCCTGAAGAATCTGTAGCTACCACTCGAGCCCCCCTTATCTCTCCCAGCACTGTTGCAATCAGTGGTTTCCCGGCTGCTCCCCTGCTTCTGCCCTGGCCCTCTACATTCTTCCTCATTCAGCAGCCAGAGGCACCCTTTTAAAGCCAGATTATGCCACCTCTAGAAGTTTGATGGCTTCCCATCCTATGTCTCTTTGCTTACCAGTGACATGGCTTAGGACTCCCTCACTACACCTCTCCAGTCTCAGTGTCCTCATCTGCAAAGTGCCTGCCTCGTGGAGCTGCTGTGAGCACTCTCATGGGTCAGAATCCCCTTGAGGCAGACTCTGAGATGAGAGTGTAGGAGGTTTGCTAAGGCATGCCCTTGGGGTCAGTCTCCCCAGAAGGGAAGGGAAGAAGGCAGGGGAGGGCAGGAGAAGTGGGGCTGAGTGGCAGCCCTGATCACAGCCTCAGCTAGCCCCACGGGGAGCTCAGCAGCTACAATGGCCTGCAGAGATGTCCCAAGTTGGGCAGAAAGGACCAGGCCTTCATAATCCCACATCACCCAGTCATTGGTGGGCCACTCCTCGAAGGGTATGAGCTTGGATGAGACCACTCCCTGCCCGTGACTCCATCCCTGAAGAGGCGACAGCTGTAGGCTGCCTGCTGACCACACCTGCATCTGGGGCAACCAGTCCTTCCCTGAAGAGAATCTGGGTCACACATCCACGCCTACCACAAGCAGCGTTAATGAAATAACGCATGTAGAGTGCCACCACAGTGCCCACATCATAACAGCTATTGTTATTAAATAATGTATATTGCTACTATTTTCAGAGACCAACAAACAGGCAATTATAATGCAGCATCATTTGCTACACTTATAAGCCAAGGGTACACAGATGCACTTTCTCACATCGCCAGGCCCCAACCCCAGTGTATCTGAATCAAAAGGTCAGACTGGACTGAGAACTGGCATTTCTAACAAGTTCCTAGCTGATGCTGAGGCTGCTATTGTGAGAACCACTGCTCTTAAAAACAAGGTATTTCCTGAGAAGAACAAGAAATGGATGATGGGAGGGCAGGAACGATAGTTATTTACTGTACCCATTTTACAGATGAGGAAACTGGGGGCTCAGAGATGCTGAGCAACTTGCCCAGCATCATCAGGAAATGGAGATTGTGCCAGACATTGTTGCCTATCAAAAGCTACATTCTCCTTTTGGACAGAGCCTCGATTTGTCCAGATATTTATTCGTGGAAGATGACTTCATCTCAGGGAAGCTCAGACTGGTTCTTGATATTGGGATGGGCATGTGACCTTTTTCTGGCCAATAAGACACAAAAGGGAATCTGCACAGTTGCATCTGGGGAAGAGTTTTCTTCTGATAGAAGATGAGAGGGGTGTGAGAATTCTCTTCACGCCATGACTCTGACACATGCCCATTAACAATTCCTGCCTTTAAATGCAATGGTGATAGTTGGAGGTTCGGCAGCCATCTTGACACCATGAGGTCACTCCTGAAGGTTAAGAGTCAATGAGAAGATGATGATGGAATAGAGAGATGGGTAGAGTCTGAGTCCATCCTGAGTGACATCAGACCTCAAACTTCTTTTCCTTGACTTCCTGAATGCATGAGTAAATACCTTTAAATCTGATTACTACTTTAATCAGGTTTTCTATCATTTGAGGCCAAAAATGTCCCTAACCAAAAGAGACAGATTCCAGTCACCCCATGGAATATTGGGCAGCGGGGCCTATCTACTTAGATCAGAGAGAAAGAGCAATGACAGTCAAACTCCAGCCCCTTCTCACTGGACTGAGATTAAGCCTGGCAAATCTCTGCCATCCACTTCCTCTTGAGTTTGGGAAAAATCTCAGACTTCTTTGGGCCTCAGTTTCCCCATCTGTAAAATGAAGGATTTGATCTAGATCAGACTGGTTGCTGTACTCGTAGACATTTTTGTTAGGTCCATATAGTGTTTGTTTTTTGACTGCCAGTATTAAACAAGTGGGATGGTTTCATATAAAACTCCAGACATCTGACTGCTCTGGAAACATTGTCAGATCTGGCTACACTGGACCCCTATTCTAATACCTCCCCTTGTAGAGAGGGCTTGTGCTTGCCAGTTCACCCCAAATTTCTCCCTTCTCTGTAACTTCTTGACTGAGGCCAGATGCCAGTCACCATGTATTATCACACTTGTCCTGTTGTTCTCATTCTGGAGTTAAGAGGAAAGGGAAATATTTCTTACTCCCAGACCCCTTCGCCCTCGTCCTACCCGTCCTTGTAGGCATTTGAAAATGTAACTCCCAGATAAGATGGTTTGTATCTTCTCTAGGGGTTGCACAGGCATCT